AAGTAATTTCATTGGGGATGATGATACGAGGGAATTAAATAACCTGGGGGCTGGCGAAGCCCAACCAGCAAAGGACTTTACTTTTAATTAAAGCTTTCTCTACCAGAAGCTCGGGCCTACAAATCAAACGGCAAAGGAAAACCCCGCAAAACAGAGAAAATACTTTCCACCACTACACAACACGACATAAAATGTCAATAATTATAATTAACGTATTTCAAATTAATTGTTTTGAACGAAAAAACTGTATTTTGATTGTTCTTATATTGAACACAAAATTTAGTTTAGTTTAATGATATCCTGAACTCTTCATGATACAAACAATTAATGAAATAAACTAGATTATCGAATTCCGAGTGTCTTTTTAGGTATTTTTTATATAAAACTACCAGAAAAAACCGCATTCTTTCAACTGTTTGATCAAAACTTTTGCTCTTTTCGATTTTTTATGTGCAGTTCCTGTTCTTCTACAAGAGTATTGGCTTGACGCCATTATGAGAAAAGAATTAACAACGAAAAGGGATAAACAAAGGAAAACGAAACTTTGTTTTAAGGACTTAGAAATACAAACATATAAGACTGAAATATAGTAGAACTTAAGAAAACCTAAAAAAAAAAAGAAAAGTAATATTGGGTTGTTTCACATGAAATGTCCGTTTCCAAGGTAATGGGTTTTTTTAAAGTAAAATTACTATGTAAAAACAAAATCATTTTATTCGAAGTATTTATCTTCATTTTCTCCACGTGTGATCAAGTTTTTATGCCGGAACTGAAAATTCTGAGCTTTGAAATGAAACAAAATCTAAAAACGCTTTTTGGACTTGAATACCATATGCAAAACTTTTTCCTTTAAAGGAGTTGTATACATTCCTAAACAGGTGAAAATCTGTTGGAGTCAAGTCTGGAGAATAAGGTGGATGCTGATGTAGCCAAGCTCTTTCACTTTGTTTATAGTATGATTTAAACCTTGGGGCCCAGCGTTGTCGTGGAGGAGTAGAGGACCTTTCTGATTTACCAATGCTGGATGATGTTTTGAGTAATTTTTTACGCGTTTCGTCAATTTCCTTGCAGTACGATGCAGAGGAATGGTCTCACCTCTAGGCAAAAAGGAGGTGGACCGTACGATCACCATCAATTTTTTCGGAGTAAATTTGGTTTTGGCATGTCTCCCGGTCTTTCGTCGATGTTGAACCACTGCCCTGACCTTCGATTTCATGTGCAATCCATTTTTAATCGCACGTGATTATTCTTTCAAGAAAAGGATCGGTTTTTTTGCCTGGGGAGCATCAATAGAATGTCACGAGGCGCTTTAACTGCTGTCGCTCAGTGAGCTCATGTCAGACCCATAAATCAAGATTTTGACTTTTCCTGTCTTCGTTAATTGGCTTGACACGGTAGCTGCATTTGCATTTAGTTGTGCTGCGAGTCCTCTGACTGTTTGATAGTGTTTTTCTTCCCCGTGAAGCTAAAGGACATAGTAGTGAATTAAAGTTGGAGTTCTTCCTCGGGGCTCGTGGTCCAATTCGGTATTCCCTTCCGAAAACTTAGCCAAACGGCGATTCGCGTGTTTCCATGTTCATATTGTTGGATATACAAAAAGAGTGTAATGGACAGGGGAGTTCATCATTATAAACAAAATGGAGCATTAATAACTGTAATATGTAAACAATTGTAAGCATACAACAGAAAATCGCTATAACCTTTCTGAATTTCTGAAACTATAAAACGGACATTTCATGTGAAACAACCCAATATTATAGTTATTGATATTTTTTGTGTGGGATACTGTAAATAAATAAATAAACTCAACAAAGATTATGGGTATAAATAGTAAATATTTCGTATTATTTATACAAATCTGCTATAAAAAGTCTCGCAGAAGTATGATTGTTTAGGTGCTTGGATAGGAAAACTAAGAGATTTCTGTTTTTTAGTGATGCGAAAGAGGAAGCTTTTTTTAAAATACCCTTTTTCTTGAATTACTGGTATCTTTTATGCTTCGTAACCGCCTTCAGATAAGTAATCCTTCTTTTAATTATTGATAGGAACTCTCCCCCTCGGTTAAATATTAATTTATTCTTGGTACTTGAAGGGAAAAAGTGCGACAAAGGGCCCTTGTGGTCTGAGCAGCCATTAATTATAAGATCAAAGATTCTTCTACGGCTTTGAACTTATTTTTCATTTTCAGGAAAACTCCGAGACGGCGGACAAAATCATAAAAAAAAATTTAATTTTTTAATTTATAATATTTACATTTTTCGACAGCTCTCGTATTATTCTATATTAGGGAAAACGTTAAATTTGGCCTTTTTTAAAAATAAATCTTAATCCACAGTTTCGGTGAATCATCAAAACTATCCGCAATTTCCAGTGCCATTGGAATAAATTTGCAATGAATTTTAATACATTCAGGTCAATTAAAATACATTGTTGAACTCTCAAACATAAATTATGTAGAATTTGATTTAGGTTTACAAAGTTGATTCGTCCAGTTTAATTAAGAACAAAGATATTTCGATTACTGGGGTTTAGAAGATTAGTTAGGCTTTCCCAATGTATATTCTTTTTATTCTACTTTTACTTTTTTTTGCCCTTTTTATATATAAGTTTTTATTCAAAATAAAGAGTAGGTACGTTGGAAAATAGTAAAATAATCACTTAAACCACATAAAGAGATATCCAACAAGAAGAAGGAAAAGGTGATATCGCGCAGTCGCCTGTTAGTCTGCAAAGAGGGTTTGAGAGAATTCGTGGGACGAGAGATTTGAAGATTTATAATGGTTGTGAGGATTTTATGAAATTTGCGATAATGGGAGTGGGTTTCATCTTGGTTAAAAAGAATATATATGTCTGCATGAGTAGTTTCGTTGGCATTAAGGAGCTTTGTTCAAATTAAGGATAGGTTAGTTTGGATGCTGGGGAAGTTGGAACGTCTATATCGGCTGTACTAAGGTGTTATAAACCAGCCGTTTATTGTGAGAGATAAGATCATCGGTAAGATCGGTTATCAATAAATCGTGTCACGAGTCATGGGCAAACGTTCGTCGAGTCCTAGGTACAGCAATTCGTCCGCAGTTGGTAGGTGTTACTAAAATAAACTTGCGGTTGATTTTTTGTGCTAAATTTTATAACACCAAGACTTCAGCGGTGAAAGCGTAGAAGGTTTCGAATGTAAATAACAGAAGAGTTACTTGAACGGATCCCTTTATCGTCTGCAATGATAGATTGTTGATGTGAAGATTGGGTGGTCAGCTGGTAAGGTGTAGGATGTCAGAACGCTACCCTGAAAAACGTGGCTACGATGAAACCCTCTCAGTGAGGAAGTTGTGAAGTATGAGATGGTAGGTGAGGGAAGTGCCTTGAGAATGAGTTCAATCAAAAACTTGGGTTATGTTAAAGAAAGACAACCAAACGTTACTGACTCAACTTAAGCGAGGAGAGCATAAGAAGGCACAGTATCTAGCGGGGCCTTTATTATGGACCAGTTGCCGGGGCACCCTGGGCTTCCTCGATCATAGGGATCCGGGACGTTCGGAGGTATATGATTGGTGGGTAGTGCACCTCGTTCTACGAAGTCTGCGCGTTAACAAATCAGTAACATCATAGAAGAACAACGTAGGAATCGTATGTACTTGGATTTCGTCCCTCAGTCGAGTTGCGTTATGTCACAAAAAAAAAAATAAATAAATAAAATTGTAATAAAGATATATGTAATATATGTAATATGAAATAATATATGTAAAACAAACTTTTTTGTTTATTGATATTTCAGTGTTATTTATAACGCTTGAAGTTTATTATCATTAATATTAAAGTTAGTAATGCAGTAGAACTTTGTACTTTTATGAATATGCTTTAAATTAGTCAAAGTTTTAGTGGTTTTTACAATTTTTAGAAATTCTTATGAAGTTTACAGAGTTGCTTTCGCACTTCAATAAACAACAAAAATCTGCACTAGATGGATTTTACAATTAAGTCAAATAAATATTTTCTGTTGGTAAAACTCTTAATCCATCCATTTTTTAAATAAATATTTTTTAATTACGAGTATTCTGATTTTCTACAGCCGACAAGAAAGAGATAAACAATCAAGACAGTTTTGTTTGGAACATGAATTACATCAGATTGGAGAGATACGTTTTGAACATTATTTGCTCAAGGTGCCTTGAGGGTAGGTCAAAGCATTTAATTTGACAAACTAGAGGTATATTTGTGTAGGGTTGGTTATGGGTGTGTTTACACAGTGAATATCGAGGTACACGCTCCGGGCGGGTTCTTTGCTATAACTGGATCTTCATCTGACGCTGTTTGATCCCAGTGCAGGGAGAAAAAACAGTTCGCCACGAGGAGACAGCCCTGCAAATAGGCAAAGCAAACAGCTTTAATGGCCAATTTGCCTTTGGTTCAACGCAAGTCCAGTCTGAGGAACCGTTCTCGCCAAACATAGACAATTCGAGCTAACTCTTCAATAAATATTCATATAGGGATTGTTCTTTGAGCCCTGGCAAACAGGGTTGTTTTAGGAGTTGGTCTTCATATGAATTTCCTCGTTTACGTTTCAATAGAGATGGAAACATATCGTTCCCTTCCGTTCATTTTACATTGATTGACTTCCTCAATATACAATTTGTATTTAACTACGTACAAAATTTACAAAATTAGAATGTGACAGGCATTGTTTGAACAAACAAAAAGCAGGAACTATAAAGTCGGCTTATTTGATCTTCAGTTTCCGGTAGTAATACGCGAAAAACAAGATAATAAAACCCGAGACAGGTGTTGGAGGCCGACCCAGTGGTTGAGGACAGTTTTAACATAGCTTGAAGATAAAATCTCCGACACCGACCGCAGTCTCATGATATGATGAATATAGAAGTAAGTGGGTGGATTTTCAAGCAAACTCGAGGGGACATAAACTTGCCCAATCTGGCGTACCTGCTTTCTAAACATTCGCCTATTTTTTAAAGGCTAAAAGGACATTAAAATTCTCAGCTACTTACATCATATTGTCCGTGGCATATTTGCTGATTCATGTAAGTCGGGTACTGATATTCTCCCGTCCTGCAATAAATAAACAAAATTAATTTTCATGTCAGTTTTATTATTTAATACAGTAAGTTTATTACAGTTTCAGGAGGAAGTTCATGTTCTCGATAACAAGGATTTATCACTATTTGACAATTGATATTAACACGATTAAAAAAATCCTATACGCATACTTATCTCAAGACGGAAAGGTGGTGCATTGTATTTTTTATTTTACTTTGTACTGTATTCATTAAATTCACTAATTTCGTGGTCCGCTTGACCAATTAATATATTACAATTAATTAAGGTTTTTAGTTGAGATAAAAAAGTCAATGGCACGAGCGGGATTCGAACCCACGATCTTCGGCTAGATACGCCGCTGCTCTATCACTCGAGCTCTACCTCGATTCACTCGGACACCAATTTCCCATCTCAACCGCACCTTTTGAATTTTCCCTCCTTTTTGCCGTTTTTCAAATGTCATGAAATCGGATTGGATTCTCGGCGACAAATGAAATGGCCACGGAGAGCTTTAGTGAAGTATACTTCATTTAAATTCATTAAAGAGCAGCGGCGTATCTAGCCGAAGATCGTGGGTTCGCATCCCGCTCGTTCCATTGACTTTTTTATCTCAACTAAAAACCTTAATTATTTGTACTGTATCTTCTTACTGCTGGTACACACACAAGCCTGGCGAGCCGGTGACCATCCAATCCGATTCAAAAACCATGACATATGATTAAACCTGGGATAACCTGATTAGATATGGGATTATTAGATGGGAAATGGGATAGAAATTATAAGTTCTCTCTAATTCCCAGGTGAATCAGAGGTCAGATCTTCGGAGGCAGACAGATGGAAAAGATACGAATTACAACGAGCGGAAAGGTGGCAAACGAAGGAGTACGATAGGAGAAACGAGGGCAGACGTGAAACATTTAAACTGGGAACATACCCGTTGCAATGCTACGCGACGCTACCCGAAGCCACCCGATGCAAATCGGAAATCCATTTTTCCATAAGATTGTATTACCCCCTTGCAGATCTACCCGATGCCACGCAACGCTACCCTACTCTACGCTCCCCACGGTCCAGATTTTCGTCGGGTAGCATCGAGTACAGTCGAAGACAAAAGAACCGGACCCTCATATTTTTATTGAAAACTATATGTATTATTAGCTTAATATTAATTACAACATACTTATTTTAATATAAACCAAATTCAGATCAAAAATTCATTTAACGGTTTGGCAGAGAAAAAACCGCTATGCGACGCTACTCGACGGCTTGTCTCGTTTTGGTAGGGTGTACACATCTATGCGACGTCAAGCGCACGCCACTACAGTCACATGCACTATTTTTAGCAAAACCTCGTAATCAATTGTTATTTAAAGTTTATGAGTTATTTAAATTTTATTTTTTAAATAACGTTATTCGTGTTTCGATAAATTTTCTGCCTATCCATCGTAATTAAATAATTATAAAAACTCATGAATTTTTGATCTCTTTTAATTTGGTTTATATTAAAATAAGCATGTTGTAATTAATATAATGACAGAATTACATATACATAATACGAAATAAAAAATATGAGTGTCCGGTTCTGACGAAAATGGTGTAAATTTTATGAGCAAAACCATGTAATAAATTGTTAGTCATATTTTGTGAACAAAATCATGTAATATATTGTTAGTTAAATTCATTCTATCAATAAATGGTATTACTGTGTTTTGATTAATTTCCTGCCAAATCATTAAAATTATTTAAAAAAAAAACTCATGAATTTTTGATCTCGGTTAATACATGTAGTTTGAAATAAAAATATGAGTGTCCGGTTCTTTTGTCTTCGACTGTACTGGATGCTACCCGACGAAAATCTGGACAGTGGTGATCACGTAGAGTAGAATAGGGTAGCGTTGCGTGGCATCGGGCACGGTGGTAATACAATCTTATGGAAAATTGGACTTCGGATTTGCGTCGGGTAGCGTTGCTTCGGTTAAATGTGTTCCCCACTTTATGCGTCGCGATTGAGATGAAAACTAAATAAATGACCTAGACCAGGACAATTCCAGAATACTCTGAATATGGCACGAGACAAAAACAAATAGTATACTTCTTAGTGATTTAAAATATGTTTAACCCTTCTATGCTTAAGTGAATGTTCACGGCTAAGTACTATATGACCCTTCAGAGTACACCAGTTGGCACAAAGAAAAACCCGATTGACTTCTGCATCCAATCTGTCACTACACATTGGTTGATATGCAAAGACCAGAGACATCGTTTTTCATAGATAGGGAGCATTAATATCAAGAACTTAACTATAAAAAATTAATTTATAAATAATCATTTGAAATTTATGAAAGAGGGGAGGCAAAGAAAGATAAATAAATAAAGAAAGAGAGAGAGAGAGAGAGAGAGAGAGAGAGAGAGAGAGAGAGAGAGAGAGTGAGTGAGTGAGAGAGAAAGAGAATCCTGAAAGAAGAAGGGATTCATAAACTGGACCGAATATCTTGAATTAATTTATTTTCCAAAAATTAAAGAAAAAAATTGACGAATACATAATTTCGTTGAAATATTCAACTTGGACAGAGTGTGAGAAAGAAATGGAAAAATAAGAGATACAGAATATTGTTTGAATTTTTCAAGCGTTCAAGTTCTGCAATTATTTCTGAACGCTGCAAGTCGGCAAGTTGTTGAAGACCACAAGCGAAAAAAAGTTGGGATATTTGCCGTCAATAATGATACATAACGGTTTGGTTGAAATATTGGATGTGATATTATTTGTACGGGTGATTTAAGGATGAGACACAGGTACCAGAGCGAACTCGCCCGCCTTCGAATGATTGGCTTTCAAGGAGTAGTTCTTTTAATAGGCGGGTCGTTCTGAGTTATTGGCCTGGTCAGATCTCAAAGGTCACAATCTCAAATTATCAATTATCTGGAGAAATTGGTTTTCTGTGCCCCGTCCTGAAATAATTTCACGTGGCCGTACGCGCTTTCTAAATCCACAGGGGCAATTTGTAACATTCCGTAAAACGAGGATGTTAAAAGAAAAATGCATTTTTGAAATTTTGCGATAAATTTACGATTTACGAATTTACGTATCAGCAATAATCGAAATGTTGAAAAATAAATTATTATTGCGCGTGCTCATAACCTTCAATTATAGGCCGATTCTGTGCTTGGGGTTTCTTCGAACTTCGAGCATGTAATCGTCGGTCCCCGGTGCATGTTCTCCGCAATCAATAAACAGGTTTTAATTGATCTCGACGCGGAGTTTATGACTGGACATGAGACAAGACTTGCACTACACCTACACGGTTTTATTTACAGACCATTGTTTTACCATCGGAATCTTCAGGTGAGGTCCGACTTCCAGGTTTTATAGTCTGACAAAGATGGGATTGAAAAATTACTAAGATTTTTCAAACCATTCATCTCTGTGGTCTTTTGATCGTAATAAGCAAATCCTTAACCTAAACGAAAATCTTTAATCTTTACACAGAAAGCATATAAATTGCGAATTTTGAAACGGTTGACATTTAAATACACTACTTTGCAATATATCCGCCGTTCACCAGAAGCTATTTTGCATTAGAAGGCTTGTTTTATTTATTTATATTTTAATACGTATAGGATAGTTGAAATTATAATTAGGAATTAAGTGGAAGGTCTGAATTAATAATGTCGAAGATAAAAATAATAAACAATATTTCTCTAACAACACGCTTCACTTTCATATGGCTCATGGTTATTTTAACATATAAACACTGTTTTAGTAGTACTACCGATGTGAGACTTTCATTTATTAAAACAATATCACATAAATACCTAATCAACGTATCAATTTTATATGATATCATAAATATTAAAACGAGTAGTCAAACTTCAATTATCAATTATTTCAAAATAAATTGTACCCTCATTAATATTTGATTCTTCTGCGAAATTCAACATTAATAGATAAGCTAATAAAATCATAAGAGCGGAAACGATCAGTATTAAATATATAAGGAATATTAGGAAGAAGTGAGGAGACCGACAGTACAAACAACAGAAAGTTCACTAGTTTTCGTGGTCCGCTTGACCAATTAATATCTTTCAATTAATTAAGGTTTTTAGTTGAGATAAAAAAGTCAGTGTCACGAGCGGGAGTCGAACCCACGACCTTCGGTTTGATACGCCCCTACTCTACCACTTGAGCTATCGTCACGAAGTCATCAATAAAATCGGTTTTATTTTGTTATTCGACTTTCTAGGGGACTTATTACTATGAGGAGGCAGGCACTGCAAGCTTTTAAAACCTTTTGGATTCGAATTAGATGATATTTACCTACGGTATTATATCCAATACATATAAAATTATTATAATACATTTATAATAACAAATAATATGTATAATAACAAATATATAATAGATGAGATATAATTACTTTTAATCTCTTTTTCCTTTTCTTCAGGTTGCTTCTATTATTATTGATTTATAAAAGATCAAATATGCACCCTCATATACATATGAACAGACGTGTATAGAGTTTTTAAAAACATTTTCTTTATTGTGCCAACGTTTCGATCTTTATTGACATCATCTTCAGGGCTCAAAGTGTTTGTCTTCTGTGCAATTGTGCCATTCTGCCTACTCTCGACACGACGCGCAAGAAGATGATCTCAATAAAGTCGAAACGTTGGCAGATAAAGAAAATGTTTTTCTGAAACCTATCACACCAGACCGCATCTCACGATTTCTGAATAATTATTGATTAACGGTCACTAATCACCAAACATTTACAATACTTTCATGCTCAAGCACAATACTCATATTGCCGGCACATATACGCTTCTATACGCTCGCTATGTGGAGCCAAAAAATTGTACCATTGTGTTGAGTGAGACACATCGAGCAACCAACCTATTTTTACATGTCGGACGCCCGCGTATGTGTCCATGTGTCAACCTCGCATGGCCTATCCATGGCCTAACCATGAGGATGAACCTTCTACGAGTCAGATCCTATCGAAAGTGCTCTTGAT